ATTAAGCTTTTAATGTGACAAATTGTAAGCTAACTGATAGAGGATACAGTAACAGAGGTCAAATTTGAATAGCTTTCGCCGCCGTTTCATTACTTATTTACTCGCTTTAACCGCTCGGTGAGAATGCAAGTTTCCGTTCGGTCGGTGCTATCGCGCTGGATACAGATCGGTTAGTTACACAGCGTTCGATAATTATATCACCAAAATTCAATTCCGCGGACTCGTGCCCGTAGAGGAGCCGCAGAGAGTCCAGGGTCGGGGAGCATATAGGGCGAGTGCAATCGCATCCCTCCATGGCGCGTCAATATTGGCGTAGGAGTGGAAACGCCGCCGGATCCCCGAATTCTATTCGGCCGTCTGTCCGTATGCTGAAAGCCGCGAGAGTACACTCATACGCGCACATACACACACACACACACACACACGTTTATACAGCGAATGCAGACATACGTCTCCCACCGCCTACGCTGATAACAGAATTGATAGAACCGTATAATAATTATAACTACCACAGGCAAGCAAAACCACCGCTATTCCAATTCTCTGATCGTTATCGCTCGCGCAGAGTGGGTTGCCGAACGACACGACGTTCCCGAATACATAATTCATCGCCGATCCCGTCGAACATCGTAAATCACGAATTATCCGTGTCGCGAAGACGACAATCGATCGCGCCGGTCCGTCGACTTTCCTACGCTCTCTTTCGGATCGGTGCGCATTGCGTGCGAAATATAATCCTTCTATAAGTCCTCTCAACGCGGGTTCACAATTTTCCACGTCGTTAAACTTTACACGCGTCGTCGCGCGTTCGTCGTCATGCGTATCAAGTTTGATGGCGTTATTATTCTTTTAAGAATAGGTATTCGGCGAGAGATTGCGAAAAGATGAACCTTAATTGCAAACCTTTTCGCGTATGACAAACAAGAAATAACGCGACAACAAACGAATACGGATACGCTGAGGAGAAAAGAAAGAGCGGAGAAATTATGATGGATGGTTTGAATTTTATTTTTCTTTCTCGACATCGCGTAACTCTGTTCTCGTAAATGTATCCCATGCGAAGCGCGAAACACTCGTGTTACATTCAAACAAGTACGTTTATATGCGAGGCACGCGCCGCTTTTGTTGATCACAAATACGCGTGATCCGAAATCTCGTCGGAACAATTAATCCACTGTGCCGTCACTCTTGCCGTTGCGAATTCTTTCCCGCCGGTCGGAACAGCACGAAAAGACGGAGAAGAGGCAAACTGTCGGGCAGTAATTTCCCCGAAAACGGATAATTACGGAGCGAGGCGAAAGTCAGAGCCCATTCTCTCCGGCCACCGTGAAATTTCATTCACCTCGATTTCTCACGCGCCCCGCAACGGATAAAAGCAGCTCGCTATCTACGTGTGAAGAACAGAGAGCGAGAGAGAGAGAGAAAGAGGGAGAGAGAGAGGAGGGAGAGGAAAGGAGAAACGCTCTCTCGGTTCCGAAAGCAGCCAGCCGCGACCAGCCAGACGATGCACGCCACATCCATCAAGCGGGATGAGAACGGCGTTGTTTCGCGTACGGTGACGTGGTGCTGCGAAGGCAAGCACCATCCCCGTCGACGTTGAAGGTGATACGCTCGGATGGGAATTACGCGAGGGGCGAGAACGATGGCCTACGTGTTGTCTGCCGCGACGGACGGAAATGCACCGGCAGCGGACGACGCTCGAATGGCACGCGCGCCATTTCCGCGGCCGTTTCGCCGGGGCTCATCTAAAGCCGTGGCGCTCTCGCTTTATTGCCAGCACATTTTTGCAGACGCATCCTTCACACTTTGCAGCCGTATTCGCGTCGTTACTCCGTTCAGCCGTAAAGTAGACCGAGCAGCCGCCGCCCTTCGCTTGAAAAGTCTCGAGTCAGTAGTTAGTCGGTGCCAAACGCCGGCACCGGCGATTTGTTACACGTTATCCCGGAAATTTACGAGCTTTTTCGTGTCCATGTGATATAACAAATACAGTAGGAAGCGCTTTCGCGCCGGTTCATTTGCTTTATTTGTTGATTGTGCAAATCCTTCGGCGCGCTCCGTCTGTTTGTAAACTTTTAGCGACTTCATTAAGTAATTTTCATACGTAAACGTTACGCAGCAACATTTTTATCAATTTCAATCTTTCCAGGAGCCACTTTACAGTGCGCTCCTCATACAACGATTGTTTGTTCTGCGCGGAAATGGCAGCGAGCCAGGCAAAGCGTTTTGCAACATTTTCCGACGGCAAAGTGCGACGAGACATTTTCCGACGACGTGGAGTAGTAGGTACATTTAGGTGAGGCGCTTTTTTGTCATCTCGACTGCGCTACCTCGTTATGATGAACTGCCATATTTTTCTGTGCCCGGGCAATTATCGTTAGCGTAGTCGCATCGGTTGAATGGCGCCTTATACACGACGCAATCGTAAGTCTACTGTAATGATAATATTGAAAAGACGATTTCAATCAGCCGTCGTTTAACGAGATGATTCTCCATTCTAGAAAAATCAGAAGGAAAACGCGAACAAACATAATAATAATAGCCAAACACGCGTGGCGCGCTTTGCGCGCAAAAATATCGCGCGAAACATGTCAAGCCTCGGCGGCGCATTAAAAATTAGTTTGCAAGACGGCATCCAGCGGCGTTGCGTTTTTTCGCTGGTTTATTCCTTCAACGTTGATGTCAACGCGAGCATGCCACGCTCAGCAGTAGTTCACCAGAGTGAACTGCCGTCTACTACGTGGAAGTCACTTTATTGCAGCGAAACGCGCATCCCTACTACGGTACGGTAAACGCAATTTTCCTCCGGCGCGCGCCAAATTTTTGTCCCGCCATTATTAAATTCCATTCGTCGTTGGTGAGATTCGCGTCCCGATGTTCTACGTTTCTCCGTATACGACACGCGTCCCGGTTCATTAATTATCCACACGTTTGTTCGAACGCGCGCGAAACCGCCGCCTGCGCTCTGCGCGAGTCACCGATTTGCGGCAAACGAGGAAAGTTCGATAACCGCCCGTTGAGAAACGCCGCGGATATTCCGTCGAAACGTTCTACTTTTTCCCCGATAAGTTTTCCAGCAATGAGCCAAGGCGCTAAAGGTAGTGGACTGCGCGCAAAGTAGCACGACGAATCTCACTTTACTCTGCGCCATAACGGCTCGCCGTTCCTCTCCCTCGTACGCTGTGAAACTTCGGGCTATTCCAGCGACTTAGTTCCGCGCGACGAGGTTCGGTATCTACGCGGTATACGGCGGAGATCAAGATTTCGGATAGCGCTAAATTGAGTCCAAGTACTCTCTCTCACGCGGCCGTCTCTATAACGAAATCGTGACTCTTTGTTGGCGCGAAAGTTCCGCGAGCCGTTTCCGACGAAAATATAGGTGTTTGAAGATTCGTCTGGCGTGTAGCGAAACGACTCTTCGTCCTCGTCGATATATGCAGAGTACAGCGAAATTCGCGCGTGTACTTTACATACACACATTTATATAATTAATTGTGCGATTTATTCACGAGTTTGATACAAAAAAACATCAGCTTGTTAGTAATTACGAGATTCATTTTGTCGCAATTAATATTACAATTATCTTCTTGCAATATGATTTCATGATGTTCGATATTAACCTTTGATTCGAGCAGATAGCCTTCCGGCGATGTCGAAAATGGAAATCGGCCGCACTTCCATTAACCTCACCAACAAGGGTCTCGTAATAAACACCGTAATCCCCCATTTCCTCGGTTTGCGTGCTTCCGCCGCTCTCGCAGATCCCGCGGGATCCTTCTTGCGTAATCCACACTAAGGAAGGCGCTGCTCGCGGAGGAAAACGGCCGGCAAGAACACGGTACGATCTGGTCGGGCGCTTCCGATGTTACGAGCAAAACGCTCGGTTCGGCAATTTGTCAGAGGGTGATTAATTGGCGAGCCGCCACTGCCGACCGCTCATCCCCTCGCCGACCTACCGACGCTGGCGACGAAGGCGGTACGGTGCCGCCGCGCTGCTTGGAATTTATGCAACGAGTTCTCGTCGGTAGATACTGCGTCATCACATGACGCTTCGACTGCAGCAAAATCCACCAGACGGATGCAGTTTGCGATTTGAGTAAAAAGCGACGGTATGTTGTAGATATCTGATGTAATAATCGTATATCAAGATATAAGAGTATTCTCAAGTATTAATATTCGGTCTTTGTATAACTGGCTTTGTAGTTCTGGCTGACGGTGTTATTAAAAAGTTTCGCGAATGAAAAAATATCGACGCACGGATAGAAAATATTATAATTGTAAAATTAAGACATTAAATAAAATTACATAAATTGGAATTACTTTTCTGGGGCACGATTCGATTTTGGCCCTAAAAAAAAGACAGTTTGACAGTTCGGGTGAAACCCCACTGTCACCCTAATCATCTTGAAGTCAAAGTTTAATCTTTTAAAATACATTTTAAAAAATTGTTCCACGATCCCCCGAGATTGAGATATCGCAATGTAAAGATCGGCAAAATTCGCAAGTTTAATGCATTATCGAATCCTGATTTTAAAATATAAATAATACGTATTGAATAATTTTTTTAACATAAAAGGAAGAAGAAAGAAGTTATTTTATTTTTATTATTTATTATACCATGTAACCATATAACACCATATAACACCATTTTAATTATTTATTATACCATGTAACCATATAACACCATATAACACCATTTAATTATTTATTATACCATGTAACCATATAACACCATATAACACCATTTTAATTATTATTATACATGTAACCATATAACACCAT